GGAAAGAGACTCTTGAACTTCAGAGCATAGAGACATTTAACACTATAGTTTACTTCTAATTTCTGTTTTTAGATTAAGTTTCGTTTTCAGATACACTTCTCTCTGTTCAAGAACTGTTCCTTTTTATTTTATTATAGGAAGCTTCCAACTACACCACAAAGGATATCCGAAATTTCACATCAATCATTAAGGAGAAACTGTATTTTCAGATAAGCTTCATCATAGGCACAGATTCGTGATATTTCATTTGCAATTGGGTTTACCCTCAATGCAAAGAAACTCTATGAGCTGTTCCCTCTAGCTCACTGAAGAGGACACTTCACGGTAGCAGAATTCACTCTTTGTCCTAAGTTTTTCTCTTTATAGTGATGGTCAGATGCTGTTCTCCATTACCATATCATAAATTCTTGTTAATTCTCACCTTTTAACCCAAAGGCCTTTCTATTGTGTCAACAAAGTGATAGAAACTCCACTTTATACAAAGCTTCTGGCCTTATTTGGGCACTTTACACCTCCTATTCTTTACAATTCTGCTGAAACTGTTTAAAAAGCATTCAGTGAGGCTGGTGAGAGACTGGAACAGTTGCCCAGAGAGGCTGTAGATGCCTCACCCCTGGCAGTGATCAAGGTCAGGCTGGATGGGGCTTTGAGCAACCTGCTCTAGTGGGAGGTGTCCTTGCCCATGGCAGGGGAGTTGGAACTAGATGATCTTTAAGGACCCTTCCACCCCAAACCATTCTATGGTTCTATTGATATTAACATACCTGTAATATCATTCTATGATATTAACATACCTGTTTCCTTTGAACACACCAACAACAGATATATTGAATAAATAGACAGCAGCGTCACTGAAACCAAAAGCAGCCTACAAAGAATGGAAAATAAAGCTTACTGTAAGAACTGAGCTCTAACATTGTGATATTTCACGTCAAGTCTTATTCTCGTTGACTCTGAAATAATTTTTAGACTCTTCTGACAATGCAAAAATCCTTAAAAATACCTGTGATTCACATGCTGTTTTCATCTCCATTGCACCACTGTGGAGGTAGAAAGCCCCGCATGCAGAGGGATTCAACGAAGTAAAACTTTGTGAAGTAAAACCGAGCACTGCCTGTTAGTGAGTTACACCTCCCAATATTTAAAGAAGCAAGAATAAAGATGGCTTACAAAGCAGGAATTAGGATTTAATCAGAGCAGGGAGGAGCCAGGTATGCCCCTCCTCATCTGCTCTAATAAAGCTTTTTTTCTGGAAGCAGAGTAAAAATTTTGAAGGCAAGTCCTCTATTAAAGGACTTCAATACCAAGCATCTTCTCACAGGACATGTTTCATATGCTAGAAAAGGGGTGTTCCTCTTTTTTGGTGTGTGTCCCCCAGTGCC